CCATCCCTGTCCCAAATTAATGTCCCATCCCTGTCCTCCTTGCTCAGTTATGTCAAATGCAGGCTCCCCAGGACAAACAGGAACCTCCATCTGAAAAAAAACCCCAACCTCTCCCTGCTCCCTGTTACAGAGAATAATTCACGTCATCACTAACCTACGTATTTCTGTGCTAGCCATGTGAAAGTAAAGCCATGTCAAATGGAAGCTAACTGAATCTGCTCTGCATGCACATTTTCTCAGGTCAGTAAAAGGACATCAATAGAGTCATTTGCCTTTGGGTAATATGTGTTTTTCTTTGGAAGTATAATAGTTTTACTGATGCTGCTCTCCTACACAGAAGAGAAATACTTTTAAATTTGCACATATCCCTTTGGTACTATATATAATGCACTTCCATTTTTTGTTTTACAGGGATATCAAACCTGACAACATACTGTTGGATGAGCATGGTGAGTTCTTATGATTATTTTATCTCCAGCATTTCAATTTCATGAGCTGCCCCAGTGGCTCTGTGATTAATGCTGCCTGAGTTCATCTGAGAGACCGGGCTCATGTGCCAGGTCTGGTCTTTCTCCACAGCAACATCTCTGTCAAGTTTGTCAGCTGTCTTGATAGGCTCCAAGAAATCCCCTCCAGCCATATGGTGGACTCCATCCAAACAATTAAGGTTCATGTATTCCCACATGTATTCTTTCCAATATGTCTGGCTACAAAAATTGTAAGATTACCTATTGTCATATGTCATCAGCTCTTCAGTTTTTGCAACAGTTTTTTCTCTCATTATAGAGAAGTCACAGGCTTGATGTTTGAGCTTTCATACTTAACTGGGCCAATTATGTGTTAAAACCTTCCATACAGCTTAGATTTATGCTTTAGCAATTCCTACAATGAGACTGTCAGGCCATTCAAAATGGCACTGCCGTCTGTCTCTATTTCCAGTATTGTCATATGTTTTGTTTCTATTGCATGTGTCATGACACTGAATGTTTTGGGCTTGTTTTTTAAAAGAATCAACTCCTGGAAACCCATAACTATGTGGAAGCCTCTACTTTTGTTTAAAAATAAAAGGAAGTCTTTAGTCCTCATGTTCAAAGAAAAATTAGAAAACTAGGATTGCCAACTTTCTATTTGAAGAAAACCAAAGACCCTTGATCCACTTCACCAATGTTCCCTCTAATGTGCAGAATAAAATGTTATGTGCACTGAGGCATGTGCAGATCTGCACCATCAGCAGAAATGACACCTAGCTGTGGTTGATCTGCTAATCTTCTGGGTGGCATTTGAATGCCTCCTGAGTGGCCACACAAGCTCACAGGGAATACTGCACTCTGCCTCTTCCCAAAGTTCTCCCCTTTCCATTGTTCACTCTCCCCCAACCTTGCTCATTTGCACATTATCACTAGGCTGAGGCAGTGGGTTTGGGGTATAGGCTCCAGGCAGGCAAACTGGGGCTGGGGAGGGGGTGGGGTACAAACTCTGGTCTGGGGTGTGGGCTCCAGAGTTGGGCAGAAATGAGGGGTTCAGGGTATGGAAGGTGGCACAAAGCTGGGGCAGGAGATTGGGGTGCAGGAGGGGGTTGGGGGTTCCCCTCTGAGTTGGGGCTGTAAATGCTCCATGTGTTGTTCCCAAGCACTGGCGCAGCTCCCATTGACCCAGAACTACAGCCAATGGGCACTGCAGGGATGGAGCCGGGGGAGAGTGTGAAGCCCCAGGCACCAGTTCTGCCACTCCCGTTTTGCATTTGAACTGCAAAACAATAGGAGCAGCACAGGGGCAGCCCATGGAGCCTCTCTAGCCACCCCCTGGCTGTGTTTACACTGGACCCCTTTTCCGGAAAAGGGATGCAGATGAGACAAGTCGGAATTGCAAATGAAGCGGGGGATTTAAATATCCCCCGCTTCATTTGTATAAACATGGCTGCCGCTTTTTTCCGGCTCGTGGCTTTGCCTGAGAAAAGCGCCAGTCTAGACGGGATCTTTCGGAAAATAAAGCCTTTTCCAAAAGGTCCCTTATTCCTGATTTTAAGAGGATTTTAGGCACTTCCTTTTGGGTAGTTTAAAAATATGGGAAATGCCTTATTGAAAAAACTAATCACCCTTCATACAACCAGCTCACCAGTTTTGTGTGCATAATAGCAATAGATACAAGCACTTCAGAATACACAATAGAATGAAAAACTACATGGATTGCTGGAAGAATAATCTCCTCATTATTTCTTTGACAGATAAATATTAAGTTCTGTATCTCAAATGATAGCATCACCAGTGATTGTTCCTGTTAGAGTACCAGCATGATAGCCTGTCACAGAATATCTCTCGCATAATTCCCTCCTGGACTGATGCAAATATTTGATTTACAATTAAAATTGTCACTCTCATGCTTCATTGTTTTCTCTCTTCTTTTTATTCTGTGTATTTTTTGATTTCACAAAGCTAAAATGCCACCCACATACTGTCCCAGTGTTCTACACATTTATGGATATCATGCCACAGACGTGTCTTTTAATAAATTAAGGAGAAAACCCAGGAGGATGTATTTTTCCAATTTCTCTAACATCTCACTACTGATTCAAAAGCAGTAACACTGTTCAGACATATATATAACGCCTCTCAGTGGGGGATCTCAACTGCTTACAGACTAGTGTTGCCTAGCTCTTGTTTGGAGGTCAGGCATAAGTGCCGAGGTCAGTCTGAGCCCCTGAATTCTCTTCCTTCTCTACATCCTCAGAGGTGCTAATTGCTCCAGAGAGAGTAGGAAGCAGCTAAGGCCGTGGTTCTGCCCTCTTGTGCACTGGCTCGCACAGCTGGCTCCTGGTGATAGCTGTCTGTATCATCCTTAAAGAAGCAGCACACACACACTCTCTTTTTGCCAGAAAGCTCTTTCCATTCCCTGTGCAGCTTTGCTCAGGGAGGTGCCTCAAAGGCACAATATGGACCTACATAGTTCAGCTTCAACAACCCTCAGCGGTACAGAAGTGTCACCCTTTGTGTTAGTTGAAATAGCCATAAAATCCACTGGCAGAAAGGATAATATCACAGATCCTTACTGAGTTGTTGCAGATTCCAAGATAACTTGTTTAAGCGGACCGGATTATATCAAACCAATTCAGTGCATTTGTGGAGCAGTAGAGTTTCTTCTAAGGAGCTCTGGCACCACTGTTGAATCAAGGACTCAATAGAGAGAAGGGGTGAGGGGAAAATGCTGTTCCAAGGTACATTGTTACAAGGAGAAAATTCCAAAGAGACTTCATCATTTCATATATTTTAACACTGTCAGATAATCTACTCTGACCTCCTGATAAATACTTTCATCCAATTACTTCCAAATAGAGCCCAGTAACTTACTTCTAAATAAAGTATATGTTCCAGAAAGGTATGCAGTCTGGATCTAAAGAATTCAAGAGATGGAGAAGGCACCATTCTTCTTGATAGTCTCCTCCATTAATCAATCAATCAATCAATCTTACAATAGTCTGTGTGTCTTTACTACAGCAGTCAAGTTTAGGAAAAGTAATGAAGGAAAACATTCAAGTGTAAAGTCTAGAATTTTTCATATTGGTTCAAAAAGTTAGGAACATGGTGACCCTTTTTTAGTCTAGCTTCATCATTTCTGTCTAAAAATGCCTTCTAGATGACATCTTGAACAAAAATAAGAAGATATTTGGGTAATTGTGAAAAATATTAAGGACTATCAATTGACCTGCGTTAACGCCTGCGATTAACGCAGGACAGGATTAACGCGTTAATTTTTTTAACATGTTAATCGCATGAGTTAATGTTTCACTGCCCCTTTGAAGTGCCACTCCAGTGCTTCAAAGGAGCAGCACAAGCGGAGCAGCGAATCAGCTGGGGACTCCAGCTAATCCCCAGCTTCGCCTTTGCAAAGCCCCTTTGAAGCCCCGGAGTCCCCAGCTGATCCCGGGCTCCATGCAGCACTGTCCCATTGAAACGCAACCAATTAATCACAATTAAATTGTTTAATCTCTTGACAGCCCTACAAATATTACAGATCATATGTACAATATTGTCTCAACAATATATCCTTACTACTTGTTTCTAGAGAGTGAGAGCTGCAAAATTGGCCAATGCAATACTGATCAAAGGTGTAAAAGTAGATCTGAGACTCAGTAGCAAAGGAATGATATTTTAACCCATGTGAATGCATGAGACCGTGAAGTGATAAAGATATGGAACATAAGAACAGACATCAGACCAAAGGTCCATATAGTCTAATATCCTAGCATCTGACAGTGGTGAATACCAGGTAGCCCAAGAAGAATGAGCAGGTCAGATAACTGCCAAGTGATTCCTTCCCTGTTACATAGTCCCAGCTTCTGGAAAAAGAATTTTTTTAAAAGAAGAAGACCATTGATGAAGGCCTATTTGACCCCTGTGTAAGGGGAAGTCCTGAACTGTTCCCAAAATACACAGATCTTATAAATTCCAAGGCCAGAAGGGAGCACTGGGATCATCCATTCCAACCTCCTATCTAACATGAGGCATAGAATGTTTCCAAAATAAGTCCTTAGAGCATATGTTTTAGAAAAACATCCAATCTTGATTTAAAAATTTGCAATGATAGATAATACACCGCAACCCTTGGAAAGTTGTTCCAGTCATTTGTTACTCACTGTTAAAAATGCACGTATTATTTTCAGCCTGAATTTTTCTAGCGTTGACTTCTGACTATTGGGGATTGTGTTATACCTTTGGGTGCTAGAATAAAGAAATCATTAATAAATATTTGTTCCCTATGTAGGTACTTATAGACGGTATTCAAATCACTTCTTAATCTTTTATTTATGAAACTAAATAGATTGAGCTCTTTGAGTATCTCACTAGAAGGCATGTTTTCTAATCCTTTAATCATTCTTGTGGCTCTTCTTTGTGGCCTCTCCAATTTATCAGTCTCCTTAGATTATGGACTACAGAACTAGATGCAGTCTTACAGCAGTGGTCACACCTGTGCCAGATACAAAAGGTAACAGAATCTCTCTGCTCCTATTCAGGATTCCACTGCTTATGCCTCAAAGGATCGCATTAGGTCTTTGGTCATAGGATTGCACTGGAAGCTCATGTTTGGCTGATTATCCACCACAACCCCCAAATCTTTTTCTTGCATTATTGCTTCCCAGGATATAGTCCCCCATTCTGTAAGTATGGCTACATGCTTTGTTCCTCGATGTACAGCTTTACATGTAGCCATATTGAAAACACATCTTTTCCCCTTTTGGGGGTAATGAGGTCTCACTAGGCCAGCTGTCCTGGTGCCATTCCAGGTAGTTTTGCTGTTCAAAACCATGTCAACTTCCTAGTGGCCAGTAAAGTATCCTGGATCTACCCAATACTTTGGTGGGACCCTATAATCACCAGCCAAGGTCTATACCATTTCAACCATTTCTGCCATTTCCCTGGGATGCCTCTTTCTCTGCCAAGTTTCTTCTCCAGCAAACTTCTGAGTAAAACCCTTCCCAGTCCTTCTGCTCCTCTCCCTTCCATGCCCCATTCAAAGTTTCCTCCTTTCTCATAAGCGGCGAGGAGTCCTGTGGCACCTTATAGACTAACTGACGAAGAGGGTCTTTGCCCACGAAAGCTTATGCTCCTACACTTCAGTTAGTCTATAAGGTGCCACAGGACTCCTCGCCGCTTATGAGAAAGGAGGAAACTTTGATCTCATGAGGCCAGAGAATGAGTGCAGACTTCCACAGTATAGTCCCTTCTGCTCTCGCTTCCTGGCTTTCTTTCAGCCTGCTCCAGCCCAGCTGGGCTTCTGCATCAACTAGTGCTTGCCAATTCTAAATCTCCCCTCGGTTGTTTCCTATAAACTTTAATTGGCCGTGTCTAGCCCCATCAACCCCATTAACTGGCCCTTAAACCCCATCAACATTGATGTAAGGTTAACACTCTCATCACAGTTTGACAAGCCTATAATTATCCAGGTATTTCTGTTTATCCTTTTTAAATATTGGCAAATTAGCTTTCTTTCCATTTTCAGGAACTTCCTCTATGTTCCAATACTGATTGAAAATCAACATTAATGATACAGTGAGCTACTTAGGCAATTCTTTTAAAACTCTTGAAAATTAATTATCTGGCCCTGCTGATATTTTAAAATAGCTAACTTTAGTAGCTGCTGTTTAACATCCTTCTGGGATATTAATGGAATAGAAAAAGTGTTTTCATCATATGAAACTCTGTTTTCTATTTCCTCCCAAATACAGAAGGATTTATGAACTCTTCTGCTTTTTCTGCATTATTATTGACAATTCTACCATTTTCATCTGACCAATATCATTGTCAGGTTATTTTCTCTTCCTAATATATTTTTAAAACTGCTTAATGTCCTCAGCTCTGCTGGCTATACATTTCTCCTTTTATCCGTTTGTTTCCCTGACCAATTTTACACAATCCCTAGATTCTGGTTTATAGTCATTATTGTCAACTTCCCTTTATTGCCATTTGGTATATTTATTTTTTGCCTGCTTTCACTTCTCCCCGAAACCTGATCAATCTTTAAACTAATGTGCCTTCCTCCTCAATTGTGGGGCTGCCCATGCAGTGTTCTTAAACAATTTCCATTTATCATTCACATTCTTCTGATTAAATTCTTCCTTCCAGGTGATGTCGCTTGTAATTGTTTTCAGCTCTGTGAAATCATTCAGTCACATCAATAAAGAAATTCAAAATAGAAAGAAACAAATCTGAGTAGAAAATTTAAATGTTTAATTCTTTTACAAAAAGTCTATGGCACAATATATATATTTCAGAAGCGTTAATCTTATACTTCAGAAGTCGCATGTGGACTGCATGCCTTGTATTAGTCTGGATGTTTCATTTTTTTCACATGTATGTATAATGTAAGCAAAAAATGTTCACCCCCCCCAAAAAAGCCCATGTTTAACCTTTGCTAATTGAAAATGGACCATACATAACATTGAAACAAGTTCTGAATGAGATTAAAGCTGCTGTCCTAATGGAAAACCACTGGGAACCATACCACAGTAAGATTCCTGGGCCCTCTGTTACCTAAAGAGTAGCATAGGGTTGATTCCATCATTATTTTCCAACTTCCAGAGCAGAACATTTAGTTTTTATTAAGAGGCACAAATTCTCCATTTCGTTTCTTTGCATTATCATCTAAATATTAATGAAGCCAGGAGGATTTATGTGCATGTGCCGTCTTAAGTTCTATTTATACTTTGCTTTGTTTACTTTCAGGTCATGTTCACATCACTGATTTTAACATAGCTACTATAGTGAAAGGATCAGAAAAGGCTTCCTCTATGGCTGGCACTAAGCCCTATATGGGTAAGTTTGAAAAACCATTGTTAAAATACATACAGTACATTTCAATGAAGTGTCTCTAATTCAGGATGTTCTGGTCTGCATGTCTGATACCTCTAAGCCACTTGTGCACTAGTGAAGTATGGTTTTAGAAAAACTTGTAGTCAGCAGTAGCTCTGGTTCAGACCAGCATCTCATTTCATCTGAATCCCCCTGAGTTTGAAGATACGAATAAATGGCTATACTTTTGTTCCTATTTCTACCGTTTGGGAAAGAACGTGTAATATCAGCTTTGAATGCATTAAGCACATGCTCACATGCTTTCCTGAGTTGGGGCCTGAGTATCTCAAGAGCATGACTGCTGATTATGGCCCCAATCCAGTGTGACAAAGTCAGACCTGATAGCTATAAGAGAGTGGTGGAACTCAGGTTTATCAGCCCTAGAGTGAGAAAGGTCCTTTTGCCTATGAATGGTAAAAATTGATACCTTGGGGGGTGAATTAGAGACACCTGAGTTGAACTAAGGGCTGCTGGTCATTGAGAGTACATAAATACCCACTGTGGGGGGGGGGATTAGCCCTCACCCCTTACTCTTCCAAATCTTGCCCACAGAGCACAACCAGGCCCCTCCCCCCCCCCCCCCCCCCCCCTCTTCCCCCAGAGCACACCAGCTGGGTGGGCAACTTAGCCTCACCCTCCTTAGACCTGGAGCACCAGAAAGGCAGGAGTGACAGCTGCAGCCTCCCCAGTTCTGGAATGAGAGCAAGTGGTGTGGCCCAAATTGGGGCCATCCCAAAGGGAGATTGGAGCCCCCACTGCATCAAGCAGAAAGCAGAGGAAGGGAGGCAGGGCCATGCTTCATTATTTCAAGAGGCACAGCTCCTCCCTCCCCAGCCTATCATACCCACTCCCCATGCTTCTGAGTGACCTTATTAACCCCTCTTCTGGTGAGAATGGGGTGGGAAGGATGAGAAACAAACTGTAGCAGGGTTAAGGGCAGCAGGGAGAAAAGGCCTTCCTAGATAGAAGGCTGTTTTCCTTTTAGGGAAAACAATCGAGTTAATTTCTGTTTTGGGAAAGGGCTAGCAACAAGAAGCCAGCGTAACAAAGCACTGCCCCAGGGTGCAGAAGAAGGGTTAATAGGATGGTGAGAGGAATGGAAAACCTACCTTATATAAGGATACTTAAGGAGATTGTCTTCTTTAGCCTCATTAAACAAAGACTGTGGAGAGATATGATCACTCTCTATAAATACATAAGAGGGATAAATACCAGGGAAAGAAAGGAGTTATTTAAGTTAAGCACCAATGTTGACACAAGAACAAATGAATCGTAAATATTCTTAACAGCTTAAGATGGGACATTAGATGGGAAGGACTCTGAGCTATTACAGAGAATTATTTCCTAAATGTCTGGCTGGTGCCAAGTGTTTAGCTGGTGGGTATTGCCGATATGTTTAGGGTCCAACTGATAGCTGTATTTTGGACCAGGAAATAATTTTCCCCAAGATCAGATTGGTAGGGATCATGGGGGGATTCATGTTCACTTGCAGCTTTGAACTACACTAAATGGTAGATTCTCTGTAACCTGAAGTCTTTAAATCATGATTTGAGGACTTCATTAAGTCAGCCAGTGGTTAAGGATCAATCACAGGGAAGAGTAGGCCTGCAATATGGAGGAGGTGAGATGGGAGTATCATGATCTCTTCTAGCTTTAATGTCTGAATCATTGGGGAGTTAGCTGTGCAAAGTGGCCCTTAGATATGATTTGCAGTCAACATTCTCCTGCATAAAATATCAACTCATATTATAGGTCAGGCCTGTTTGCATTATTGATGCTATGTTCTTGCAATATGTTTGGTTAATTTAAAAATACTAAAATATGCTAATAATCTTATTTCTATATATCATTTTATATATTTTGCATAACATTTAAATTATTTGGAGACTGACAGCCCCCTGATGGACCTCCCAGATGGCAGCCTGAAGAGAGTGCAGCCAGGCTCGCAGTAATGCGTCCACGAGAAGCACCAAAGTGCCCAGGGGCAGTTGTGGCTCCATGTTGCAGAGTGCTGTAGTGTCCCGAGTGAGGGCAATCAGAGCACGCAGAGACAAAATGCTTTGCTGTACTTCATTGAGGGACAAGCAGGGAAAATCTGAGAACCGGCTGTCCGGGGGGAGGGGGGGTCCATTTAAGCACAGGCCTCAGCCACACAAAGTAACTCCTAACCTGATGCTCTGCCGCCTGATTCCGGCCGGCCTTAAATGCGATTCAGCATCCACTCAGTGTGAACGTGCTATTTTGAAATAGCAAAATGCTATTTTGAAATGCATTTTGTGTGTAGACACGTTATTTTGAAATTACTTATTTCAAATTAACTATTTCGAAATAAGATATTTCGAAATAACGCTGTAGTGTAGACATACCCCCCAGAGAAATGTAGATTTACAAGGAGTCCTAGTCAACAATAAACATACATTGAGTCAGGTTTATGTTAATAGTGCCTAGAAGTTCTAGAAGAAACCCAGTTAATGTTCTGACATCAACATTAAACCTTACAGTAAAGCAAAAACAACCTAGCCTCTTGCTCCGCAGTGCCTAACACCCTTTGACCCCCACCCCTACAGTCCATGACAAGCTCCTCTTGTCCCATAACCCCATCATGCCCTCACCCAACATCCCTTTGTCCTCACCCCATGCCACCCCCCGCACTCCGGAAAGCGAAGCTGCTCTCTCTAGAGAGCGTGGCTGTTACTGCTGCATGGGCGGGAGGGGGGGTGGAGTGGCCCTCCTCCTTTGCATGCCCTGCCTCCCCAAGTGTGTCTTGCACCCCCATGGGTGGGGGAGCACAGAGCCCCCAGCTGGCCACCATTACTGGGGGGGGAAAAGGGTGGGAGGCACCTCCTGCTCCACCTCCTCCTGCCACCGCTTCAGCCCCAGCACCATTGCCAGCAAATCAGCCGCACAGGCGGGGGAAGAGGGGATGCCCCAGGGAGGCGTCTCCTGCTCCACTTCTTCCTGCCACCACCTCAGCCCCAGCGCAGCTGGCAGTAAAAGCGGCTGCACAGGCAGACAGAGCAGTTGGTGGTGATTTGCACGCTCCCTCCACCTTTGTGCCCCCTCCTCTCCAAGTGTGTCTCCCTCAGGGTGGAGGAGAGATGCAGGGGGACAGCTCTTCCTGCTCCACATCCTCCTGCCACTGCCTCAGCCACCACGGCTGCTGGAGCTGAGCCACCGTGAACAGCTGGCTTACGTTCTGACAGCCGCCGTGCCCCGGCAGCCAGCAGTTCACAAACGGGCACCAGTCTCTGGACCATCGGTTGGGAACCCCTGATCTAGATGGCATTTAGTCCTGCCATGAGGGCAGGGGACTGGACTTGATGGCTTCGCGAGATCCCTTCCAGTTCTAGTGTTCCATGATTCTATGTGACAGCACAACTGCAGTGAGGCCTCTGACAACACAAAATAAGGAGGACACTTAATTATGGATACATTTTGCATTCATTAGCCTGAGACTATGGCATATTTATTTTAAATGTGTAGAACCAACATTGTGTTAGACATCAGCATGATGCTGCCTGCTTGAAGCTGGTGTAGAGATTTCGCACACATAGTTAAGTTCAGGACTTAGGTTGGGTGGTAGACCACAAGACATGGCAGATTAATGAGATGCTATAGGGTAAGTGCATGTATGCAGCTAATTTCATCTAATAAGTATTTGCTCTGATGTAATCGTATTAAAATATGAGGATTAAAACCTACTGCAGTATATTAACCACTGAAGGTGTGAAAAAAGGAACAAAACTCTTCTAAAACAGCTTTCGACCAGTCACTAGAAATTACCAGCATGTGCAAACTTGAAGTCTCATTTTACTGTGTACCCCACCGATTTCCACTTTCACGTATATTAATAGAACTCTGTCTGGAAGTTAGTCATGATAATTTAGAATTTTGCCCATTAGCAAAATGGAAAAGGGATGCTGGTTACCTTAACTGCAGCGTCAATGTTGACAATCAGTTTGTACTAACGGGCCTCTGCATGACTCCATAGAGTAATATAGGAAGAACAACATTTCCCTGGTTGTTGAGCTGCATGTTGTTTTTGTGCCTGCTATAATGCTTCCAGCTGCTCCATGAGGTTCTCCGCTAAGTCACAAGCGCCTGTCTTTATAGCATATGCTTATGCAATATGATTGAAGGCACTTACTCAACAGTCAAGTCAGAAATGTTTGTTTTGCACAGAAGGGCTGTGTCTACACTGGCATGAATTTCCGGAAATGCTTAAAACGGAATACTATTCTGTTTTCAGTTTTTCCGGAAAAGGAGCATCTACATTGGCAGGCTGCTTTTCCGGAAAAGCCCTTTTTCCGGAAAAGCTTCTGTGGCCAATGTAGACATGCTTTTCCGGAAAAGAGCCCCGATCGCCATTTTCGCGATCGGGGCTTTTTTCCAGAAAAGACTACTGGGCTGTCTACACTGGCCCTTTTCCGGAACAGTGTTCCGGAATAAGGACTTATGCCCGAGCGGGAGCAGAATAGTTTTTCCGGAATAGCGGCTGATTTTGTACAGTAGAGCATCGTTGCTTTTCCGGAAATTCAAGGGCAGTGTAGACAGCGGCTGATTTTCCGGAATAAGTGGCCCAGTGTAGACATAGCCCAGATGTTTAAGGGTGTCTTTCAAGCTTTTCATCTACCCTCCTAACTCACAATTGCCAGAGCTTAACTCAGAATGAAGCCTTGTTTTGATAGACAGATCTGAGGCAGTTAAGCTACATGGCCAGTCTAACTCAACTGTGTGCAGGTTAAATGAGCTGAGCTTCATTGAGAACCAAACCAGCTTTCACCAGGATTTCATTGTTGGAAACCTGGTCCTGCCATCTGATGCCCAGCAATTGTCACAGGTGTTTCTAATGGAAATTGTCAAGCTTTATAGTGTGTCCTTGATAACAGAATCACATTTCACACCTCTTGAGGAGTGTGCTGAGGACAACAGCATTACAGACTTGGGTTTCTGTCTGTATACAG